AGGTTGATTCAGAACATCCCATCACTGGATGTATCTAATATTCTATTTTGTTTGAGATTCTCAAACTTTTGTCAAAGTGCAAACGTATGCACATCTGCATGTGTTACACACTGTACAAAAGTGATATTAATGTAGATAAAGGGAACTTGAAATAACTCGAGAGAGGCCGGTATCCAGTTGCCAAGTCACCCTTCATTTACACGTGGAGAGTCCTTGACACTGATCCAGCTTCCCCAGAACCAGCTCTCAGAATGAACAGAAGCACTAATAGTCCTGTTTATATCTGTCAGTCAGGACTCCCTGATTGGACCATTTTAACAGCCCCAATCAGAGAACTCATTCTATGAGGTCCACCTGGCTGACCTCATTACAATCATTACACACTGAAATTGAGTGCAGGAAATGTGAAATTATACATTTTGGTAAGACATGAACAGGATACAATAAATGGTACAGTTCTCGAGGGGGAGCAGGAGCAGAACGACTGGAGGGGTGATGAAACCAAAACAAAATTGCTGATGTAGCTTGATGTTAGCAAATGTGAATTTTTGTATTTTGTGAAAACTGTGGGAAACAGTTTTGAGAATTTGCAACTAAAACAAGTAAAGTCACAGTCTTACAAGACCAGAGGGCTACTCTGTCATCACAGACAACTGACGGTGGTTTAATTTGAAGGTCACCATGTCTCAGGCAGGGGGAGAGGTTGAGAAGGAGAGTCCTTCATGGTAACTTTAGCTAATGCAGAAGTTGAACCCATGCTGTGGCATCACTCTGCATCACAACCCAGCCATATAGTCAATTGAGCTAACTGACCTCCACAACAATAAAGGGTTCAAAACAACGTAGAATTAACTATTGCATGTTTTTTATTTTCTTAATCTGATATTCACTGTACAGATGGGCTTTGTTGACAGAAGATTGATGCTATCATCTGGAAACCATGTTTTCTGTAGTGATGCATACAGAAGGATTTAGGCTATACCTGCCCAAGTCATTGAAGACAGCATGTTGATGAAGAGATTTTGAAAGTGTGTGGACTGTATAAGTCAAGGCACAGAGAATAAAAGTGAGGAACCTTTGATAAATCCTCCATAAACATTGTTTTGGCCTCAACGTAGGGCACACGTTTTTGAATGTATGTGAAGATATTGGAGAGGATACAGTAAAGATTCACAAGAATCCACATTCTGGGTACAATCTTATTTGTGGATAGATTGGGAAATCCAGGGGTGCTTTTCCTTCAGGAAGAAAAAGGTTAAGTGGGAGGTTCGATCAAGATGAAGCACAAATCCTTAGAGGGTAGTTCAGAATACAGAAACAAGGCTAAGGCAACTGAGGGATTGAGAATTTTCAAATTGGGGCATTGCATAACTAGGAACCAATGGAAGTCAGCAACCATATGGATGGTGGGAAGTCGGGCATTGCAAGTTAGGACATGGGCAGCAGAGTTTTGGGTGGCTTCACATTTTACAAAGTGGTTCATTTGATTGTGGACTCAATTCCACTCCCTTGAAAGAGTGTACAGAAAAGGTTTACCATGACATATCCTCCAAACCAGGCAATTAGCTATTGGAAGAAATTGGACAAATTTGATTTATTTTCTGAAGAAGGGTCACCAGACCCGAAACATTAACTCTGATTTTTTCTTCACAGATGCTACCAGACCTGCTGAACTTTTCCAGCAACTTCTGTTTTTGTTCTCGACTTATTTTCACTTGAATGTCAGAGGCTGAGGGGCAACTTGATTATGAAATTATAAGAGGTATAGATAGAATGGATAGTTGGAGTCTTTTTCCCCAAAGCAGAAATGTCAATTGCCAGGAAATGTAGGTTTAAGGTAAAAGGGGAAAGTTTAAAGACGTAATAGGCAATTCTTTTTTAAACAGAGGATGGTGTATGCCTGCAATGTGCCAGAGGTGGTGGTAGAAGCAGCTACAGTAGCAACATTGAAGGGGCATCTTGACAGATGCATGAATAGGCCAGAAATAGTTGGATATGGGTCGCATAGAGGCAAAAGGTTTTTAACTTAGGAAGGTGTCATGTGTCAGTGTAGGCTTGGTGAATGAGGGACCTGTTCCTGTGCTGTACAGTTCTTTGAGTCAATATCTGCAAGAGAGGAAGAATGAAGAAAGATGTAAAAGATTCATATTTATCAAAATATGTGAATTCTGACTGCAGAATAATGTGTAATACTCTTGACCAGCGCAGAACATCTGATCATGGATGTTAAAAAATACTGCCACAATTTGAGATACCTTGTTGTCCCTCAGAAGAATATTGTTTTCAATACCCTGGAATTCATAGTAAGAGCCAACAGAACAGATCTTGACATTCACATTGCTGACAATGTTCAAAGTTTTTATGCAGCCCTTAGAGAGACTTACTTGAATATATGTCTAATACAGCATTGCCATATGAATTCAGAGCAGGAGTAGGCCATCAGTCTTGGAGCTTGCTCTGCCATTCAATAAGATCATAGTTGATTTGATTGCAACTTCAAATCCACATCCCCACCTACACTTAGTCATCTTTCACCACCCCACTCACCACCGCTCCCCCCCCCCCCCCCCCCAGCTTATCAACAATCCATCTACCTCAGTCTTAAAACTATTCCACCAGCTGCTTCCACCAACTTTTCAGGAATAGAGTTCCAAAAACTCTCAACCCTCTACCAAAGAAAAACAATTGCCTCATCACTATTTTAAAATGGATGATCCCTGATTTTTAAACAGTGATCCCTAGTTCTAAGTTCTCCCATAAGAGGAAACATACACTCCACATCTACAGAGTCAAGACACCTCAAAATCTTTTATGCTTCAATGAAGTCACGTATTACTGTTAATTCCACTGGATAAAAGCCTCACCTATCCAAACTTTGATCTTGAGACACACACACCCACACTCTCACTTAGTCAGTCACTCAAATCACTCTCTCTCATTATCTGTCTCTTCTCTCTCCTCTTTTTCTTCCAGGTTGTAGTTTGTAAACCCTCTCTAAAGTGCCTCCAACATAGTTACTTCCTTAGTTATATGACCAATACTATGCACAGTACTCCACATGTGACCTTGCCTGTATAACTGAAGCACGACCTCTCTACTTTTGTGTACAATTCTCCTTTAGATAAATGGTAACATTAGATTTACTAATTACTTGTTGTACCTGAATGCTAACCTTTATAATGCATGCACCAGGACCAAATTCTTTTGCATCTCAGAGATGTGTATCTCTCACCATTTATTATTCTTGCTAATATGGACCATTCACTTGTTCCAATATTAGACATTTGCCGTATCTTTGCCACTCAGTTAATCTATATCTTTTTGTAACCTCATTATGTCCTCTTCACATGAGGTACAGGAGATCTATGGCACCTGTGGGAATAGCAAGAGACAACGATGTTCTTCAAACAATCAGGTGTCTGAGCCATATAGAGTCCTAAAGCAAGAAATTTGATTTAAATCCGGAAAATCAGATAAGGTTAAGAAAGAGAGATTTCCAATATTAACTAACTTCTGAAGGATGAACAGGAGGTATGACACAGCCCAGTCTATCATGAAAACCAGCCTTCCTTCCATTGACTGTCTATACTTCCCGCTGCCTCAGGAAAGCAGCTATCATAATCAAAGACCCCTCCCAGCCTGGTTACAGGACAGGTAGATAAGGTGGTTAAAAAGGTATGTGGGATACTTGCCTTTATTAGTCAAGGCATTGAATACAAGAGCTAGGAGGTTTTAATGGAAACCGAAAGAACTATGGATGCTGTAAATCAGGAACAAAAACAAAGTTGCTGGAAAAGCTCAGCAAGTCTGGCAGCATCTGTGATGGAAAAAACAGAAGTTAACTTTTCGGGTCCGGTGACCCTACCTCAGAACAGAGGAAGGGCCACCTGACCTGAAACGTTAACTCTATTTTTTCCTTCACAGATGCTGCCAGACCTGCTGAGCGTTTCCAGCAACTTCGTTTTTGTTCGAGGTTTTAATGGAAGTGTATACAATGTTAATTAGGCCATAACTACGCTGTCTGTAGTTCTGGTCACCATACTATTGGAAGAATGTGATTGCACTAATGAGCATGCAGAGAAGATTTATCAATATGGTTCTCTACGAAAAGAGATGGATAGGATGCGATTGTTTTTCTCAGAGCAGAGAAAGCTGAGGGGATGCACAAAGTTATGATGGCATAGACAGGCTAAATAGGGAGAGACTTTTCCCCATAGTAGAGGGGTCAGTAACCTGGGGACTGTGTTGAAGAAAGATGGAGGTGATTTAGAGGGGATTTGAGGAAAAATGGTTTTACCCAGATGGTGGTGGGTATCTGGAACTCACTGCCTAAAATGGTGGCAAAGGCAGAAACCCTTGACAGTTTAGTAGTATTTAGAGAAGCACTTGAAACACCATAGCATCCAAATCTACGGGCCAAGTGATGGAAAATTGGTTTAGAATACATGGATGCTTAATGACTGGCATGGACTCAAATGGGCCAAAGGGCCTTTTTCCACACTGTAAAAATTATATGATTCTAACAGTGAAAAGTTAGACTTTCAGGAGAACCAGACAGGTTGATTGGCAATAATTATGACAGAACGCATTATTTTAAATTCACTCACTGCTGAATTTACCAGCCCTAACTTTGTCATATTTAGTAGGGACTTAGTGGTCAAGCACTCTAGGTTCATTCCAAGATCCCTTTTAATGCCATCTGAGAACATCTGTGGAGGAGCAGGATAACCCTGACAGCATATTTCAGATTCCTGTGTTTAAATGTGCACGTGTAGATGCCAGCTGTTGCTGTCCAATTCACTCAATGATAACAGTGAGCAATGTTATCCTCACCATTATTACAAATTCAAGTTCAGGACCATCAATGTGTATGTTTTGGTTTAGCACTATAAACAGACCACAACAGATGTAGCAGATCTGTTCTATAGTACAGATAACATTAAAGATTGTTCCATTGCTCTTATCCACGGTTCTAATTTCAAAATCCAATTTTCATTTAGCAAAAGATAAAGGTGAAAAGAAGCTATTCGGTTTTGCATTTACACCACTGATGCGTGACGATGGTACAACACTCTCGGATGATATTCATGAACTATACGTCTACAAGGTAATCAGGGTTCTCTTTGATCACCTGTCAGACATAGTTTCTCCTGTTATAATGTTGCACATCAGTTTAAGTATGGTATCCTGTCAACAACCATTCACTGCTATTCAGATTCAAACTCATTCAATGGTCCTTGCAAATGGCTGTAGCCTAGAACGTTCAGCAATCTGTTATGGGTGTCAGTGCCTCCTCCTACCTGCAACAATCAGCTGGAATTATAGATACCCTGCAACGCTATACTGGGGTAAAAGATACACCTTGACATCCTCTTTAGCACAGATACTCCCCTCATTTGAGGCTTCCAGGCTCCTCCTCAATGATTTTCTAGGATCAAAACCCAACCTCTCTAATGGTCAACAGAAGCATCAACACATTCCTCATTACTCTTCCGCAGTCATATTCTGAAGTCAACAGTCCATTTCCTAACAGAATGCCTGTTTTTAACCAATGACATGCCATGCGTTGAAATATAGAGAGACTTGTATTGCAGTCATGCAGTTTAATCCAGCGTGCAGATATTAGATTCTTCTTAGCCCTTTGCCACTGGTCTTCAATACAAGTAACTGTTATTCTGCATCTTTCACAATTTAAATGCAATTCAATTTGATTTTTCTTCCTGTCTTTGAGGAGTGTGGTGATGCTACAGTTGTTGTCTGTGGGTTATTATAGTTGCCATAGGCATTAATTTATTGTGGCCAGCTTTTAAGCAAACATAGTCGGAATCAATTTTGAACAAATCAATCTGAAAACACTGTCAAATGTTCTTGTGAACCTGCTGTAATTGCCACAAAATGATTTATTTGGTAAATCCAGATATTGAATGAATAGAGAAAGTTGGTGTTGGCATGGCAGGTTCTGAATTAATCAGCAAAGTTCCCAAAATTCTGGTTTGGACAGGTTATTGGTTTCAAAGTGGTAATTGTTCAGTACACTTACCAACACAGCATGATTGTATTGCCTCCCTGAAAGAACAGTTTTAATTTTGAAGAACTGTAAATCATTCGTGCAAAGTATTTCTCCAGTTTCCTTTTCCAATTCTTATTAGTTTCGCTTCCACAATCCTTTCAGAAAGCATGTTTCAGATCACTACACTTCACTACATAAGAACATAATGGCAATTATCACCATTACGAAGGTGAAAATTATCCTGAAGGACTGACCATAGGCGTGCCCTAGCTCAATAAATAACTGCAGCACATTAGCTGAAGGACGAAATGGAAATGGTGCACTGGCAGGTTCAGCTTGAGAACTGTTCTGTGGTCATTCTAACTCTCAGTATAATAAATGCATTGATTTCAGTCCTGTAGGGCCCCATTTATAATTCTACCATAGTATCAGCACCATGATATAATAGAAGTGATGCAATCACCACATTTCAATGAATCACTGCTGGAGGCAACACAATAGAAGGCAGATGAGACATGCTATGTCTCCAGTTATTTCTATATGGTCCCTGCTACTCAAGAGGCATCTGACCCAGCATTATCATGTTGACAATCAGCCCTGCCAACTGATGTGAGGTCCAATTTCCAAGTTTTGACTTTGGAGATCCAGGTCATAATCACTCAAAGAACATGTGCTTGGCTGCAAGAAGGGAAAATAACTTGTATAACTTATAAAGGTAGGCACACACCATACAGGCCAAGTAATTTTGAATAATGTCTGTTGTGATAAAGACCTCAAGGTAGTGTGACATGATTTCTCACACACAAAGCCATGTTGACTATCCCTAATTAGTCCTTACATTTCCAAATACATGTAAATCATGCCCCTCAGAATCCCCTCCAGCAACTTGCCCTCCACTGATGTCAGGCTCACCGGTCTATAGTTCCCTGGCTTTTCCTTACCACCTTTCTTAAATAGTGGCACCACGTTAGCCAACCTCCAGTCTTCCGGTACCTCACCTGTGGCTATCGATGATGCAAATACCTGAGCAAGGGGCCCAGCAATCACTTCCCTAGCTTCCCTCCCCAGAGTTCAAGGGTACACCTGGGTCCCAGGGATTTATCCACGTTTATGCATTTTAAGATGTCCAGCACCACCTCCTCTGTAATAAGTATGCTTTAAGATATCACTATTTATTTCTTTAAGTTCCCTAGCTTCCATACCCTTCTCTGCAGTAAACACTGATGAAAAATACTTTAGTATCTCACCTATCTCCTGCAGTTCCACACATAGGCAACCTTGCTGATCTTTAAGGGGCTCTATTGTCTCCCTAGTTACCCTTTTGTCCTTAATGTATTCGTAGGATTAAGGAGAATCCAAAGGGTTTCTATTTGCCAAAGTTATCTCATGACCCCTTTTTGCCTTCCTGATTTCCCCTTTAAGCATACTCCTCCTGCCCTTTTACTCTTATAGGAATTTACTTTTCCCTGCTGTCTATACCTGACCTATGCTTCCTTCATTTTCTTGACCAGAACCTCAATCTCTCTAGTCATACAGCATTCCTTACACCTACCAGCCTGTCCTTCACCCTAACAAGTTCTGTACAACATTTCCACCCTTTGGTATCACAGCCTACTTGTGATAAAAATAAATATTTTTACTGTTTTTTGTTGAGCAGTAACTTTAAATTCTGTTTTAGAAATGAACATCACATCTGAAAGGAGATCAATTAACTAATCAATATGATGGTGTGTATTTTATAAGACTGATTACTGAAGCTTTTGCTTACCAACCTATCAGCTGAGATGTATACTGAAAGCCATGGAATAAGTCACTTTGTGGCCTTTTGGCAAAAGGATGAAGCTGCAGAAAATGTGGGCTGTAGAGAGGAGGGCAAGATGAATGATGGGAGATTAACTATAGGAAGAATAAAATTAACCTTGAAATTTTATTTTGCAGTGTGATGAAAATAGCACTTTCAGTAACCATGGTCTCTACCTGGGTCTTCCCTGCTGTAAAGACGACTTCAATGGCTGTCCCAACATTCCCTCCAGTCTCATTTTTCAACGAAGTACCAAGGAGTTCTTTTGGATCTCAACCTTACTCTCATCTACTAAACTGACGCAGAATGGTAATATTGTACTATTTTATGTTATCTTCCAAAGTTTTCAAAGCTGATTTAGATATTACCTGTTTCTCACAAGTATCCAAATCAATACTAGCTCCTATTGGAAACTGGTGTAAGCAGGCTTAACATCTCAAATCTCTTTCTGCTATCTTTGTCGTGGTCTTAATGGTGGTTTTATCCTTCTGGTAGAGTACCAGCGACTGCAATTCCAGTCAACCATCTTAAATGATCGTACACAAGTATCATATGGTTTAATTTCAGAGCCAATGAGTCTGACTTTGCTTAATGATGTTATATTGTATGCTTCAGGTATCTGTTGTTTTAACATTTGTCGTGTGATATAATGTTGGGCTCTGGACAAAGAAGCATAGAAGCTGCCTTACTTTGTCCAGCCATGTTATTAGTTTTGATCACCACTTTTCTGTGTGGAATGAATAGTTATGACTCTGCAGACTGAAATATTATACTGAAGTAAGAGAACTTAAATATAGTCTAACCAAAAGTTCTAACAATGATTAATTTTAAATGGACAACAGGTGTAACAATAGCAAAAGCCTATTTGAAAATAAATAATACCCAAATGTTGGTTTAAGATCAGTTCAAAGTGCTGGTCTGGTTAGTAAGGTGAACATTGCGACCTAGGATGTTAGACTGGGCAGCCTTCATCTAGGTACTTCTGTCAGGATATTGATGGAGTTTGAGCACTTCTTGGTTTGTAGTGCTGTGGTCCCTTTCGATATAGCATGTTAAAATCTTATCACTTTATGATCCTTCTCAGTCTGGAGCTGAACTGAAAGCAATTGTGCATTGCAGAGGACATTTTATACAACAAAACAGCAACATCTTTCAGTCATAGGGGTGGAAATTTTGACCTAAATGAGCGCCTGAGTACAGGCATGGTGAGAAAACATAAGGATTGTGGGAAACCAATTCCAACCCACCAACCTCCGTGTTTAACTATGATAGGCTGCTTTCACGTGTCCTTCTCAGGAAAGTTTGACTTTCCACTAACATTTGTTAATCATTTAACTAGAGCAACATTTCAGTCCACTTTTAAATTCACCTTAACATCCCAGCCATTGGATTTCCTAAAACTCACTGGTGCAAGCAGGCAGGAAAAAAAAAATCAGTAGCAGTTGCAGGGTTTACATGAAATTCAAATAAATATTTAATACTCATAACTGCCGTCTTTCCTGATAAGCGGAAAGAGTTTAGCTAGAATCCGTTTGCTGAGTGTTTCCATTCTGAAATTGTGTTGTGGTGTACGACAAGATGTGTCTAGTTTGTCTTGGATGAGACTTTGGACAGGGCTACAATGTGACCAACACAGCTGCAGGCTGCTAGTAAGAGGGAAGCAGAGTGGTGCAACTCACATGAGGCACTACACACAACATAAATGTTCAAGCAGTGGCAACAGAAGATACTGCTGTTCCTTGACATGGAACAGTTTCTCTGGAGGTTCTGTTTGTCACATCAGGCAGTGGCTCACATCTGCGAAATTCTAAAGAAACCCTGCTCCCTGATGGCCACGTATTATTGGTAACTATCAAAATTACCATCATGCTCAAAATTTGCCTCACAAATATTCCAGGGGTCTATTGGAAACGCATCCAGATTTTCAGTAGGTAGTCCACAAATACATGAAGCAGGTGACTGGTTGTTTGTCAGTGCCGGTAATTATATAAACATTTTTAGCAATAATGCTTGTCACAATGAGCAACCATTTAGGAATACAGCTCTGGCTGCCTTCCCAGATGTGTTGGCCACAATTCACTGTATGCATTTGGCAATCTGCACATACTTATATTAAACAGGAGAATTGTGAACACTTTGGACTTCCATTCCATTCAGTGTCCATGTAGGGTGCAACCACAAAAAAAAGTACATTTGCAGATTCATGGGAAGCTGCCACATGCTTTCAAACTGCAACCATCTCCTCAACGTCTTTGCACCTGGAAACGTACTTAAATAGTGGCCTCAAGGAGGCACAGCATATCCACTTCAAACTAAGCTGATGACAGCTGTTAAAAAGCTGACCAATGAAGTCAAAGAGCATTTTGACTAATACCGACTTGCTGAATATATTCTTCATGTATCTGAGAGGTATATACATCAGCCAAAGTGTGTAGAATGGCCATGTTCCAACAGTGTTGCATGGCAACTTGATTTAAGCCTGCAGGAGCAACATGTTATGGGTTCTTCATGGAGGATCTTAAAGAGATGGAGGAAGCCTAGGAGGAGTGCAAGGCAGCACCAGTTATTCACGTTGCTCCCAGGATGACCTTATTAATGCATTCTTTATTTAGTTTGGAAAAGTGGACCAACCTCAGAAGCATTTGCATGGCATTCTTCATGATCCCCTGTATAATTAAAAATATAATGGATAGACTGAATTAATGTGAACATTTTTCAGATAATCAGAAAGCCAGCATGAAATCAATAAAAGGTTAGTCATGCCTGAAACACTTGATTGGACATTTCACGGAATTGATTGAAGTAGTGGATAGGGAACTGTCTATAGACATTAAAGTTCCTACTAAGTACCTTTTAGGTAAAGGCAAAGGCAGTAATGAAGGCAAATTATTGACCTTGTTAGGAAATCAGCTGATTGGCAGGGAATTGAAAGTATGGATTTTTGATTGGAACTGGGATTAGGGTGGTCTTAATTGGCACAATGGGGGTGGTGTTTTGGCGCACTGGTAGTGTCCCTACCACTGGACCAAGAGACTGGGGATCAAGTCCCACCTGCTCCAGACGTGTGTAATAACAACATCTCTGAACAGGTTGTTTAGAAAAATAGGTAAAAATAAAAAGAAACTTTTAAAAATTATTGGCATCCTACAAGGAATTGAATTGTGGCTCCAGTTCTTCACTATATTTATTAAGGACATTGAAGGGTTCTTGTAGTGCAGTGGTAATGTCCCACCTGCTCTAGAGATGTGGAAAAACATCGCTGAACTGGTTGATCAGAAAATATTTTTTTAAATTGTTTTGATAGGATAGCTAGTCATATATTCAAGTTAGCCAATGACATAAAGATAGGCAGCACTGTGGTTAGCATGGAATTACAAAGAAATAAAAATGCATTCTATAAATGGTTAAAATTGGGTCAGGTAGATTTCAATGTAGGTAAATGTGAAGTTATCCATATGAACCTTAAAAAAAAAGGAAAGTTCACTTCAATATCATCAAAAGCTGGAAACAGTGAAGGTTCAAAGAGACTTTTAGATCCACGTGCATAGATTATTAAAATGTCAGAAAATAATTAAAATGCTGATCTCACCTTGGCTTCAACTCCACTTTCCTGCCCACTCTGCATAACCCTTCAGCCCATTATTAAAAATCTGTCAACCTCCTTATTAAATTTACTAAATATCCCAGCATTCAAGACACTCTGGGGTAGTGAATTCCACAGATTCACGACCCTTTGAGAGAATTTCTCTTCTCATTTTAAATCTGCTACCCTTTATCCTAAAACAGTAACAGCTCATTCTAGATTGCCGCTCATGAAACATCCTCTCAATGTCTACCTTATCAATCCCCTTTAGTATCTTATATACACCACAATTAGGTATCATCTCATTCTTCTAAGCTTCAGAGAATATTGACCTAAACTTCTCAACCTCTCTTCATAAGACAACCCTTCATCTCCAGAAGAGATTCACTAGATTGATTCTGAAGTGCTGTGAGCCTGAAGGAAATACAGCATAGATTTACCAAAATGGTACAAAAATAGAAATTGCTGGCGAAACTTAGCAGGTTTAGCAGCATCTGTAGGGAGAAAGCAGAGTTACCATTTCAACTCTGGTGACTATTCATCAGGACTAACAGTAGCTAGAAAAAAAATGGTATTTATGCCAAAGATGGGGTTGGGGATGGTAGGGGGAAAGAGGTGGATGGATAAGTGGAGACAGAGCCTAGAGCTAGAGATATAACATGAGTAAGCAGATTATTGGTAGTAGGTCAGACAGAAGAGAAAGCTGGTTTAGTGATAATGAGAGCTGAGAGTAGGAGAGAATGGGTAGGCTGTGCTGAAAGCAACCCATGTCAAGTGATAATAAGGCTGAGTGTGGTCTGGTTGTGCTAATAGCAACTCATCAGGACAGAGGATGACTGTGTGGGAGTGGGTGAAAAATATTGAAGGTGGAATCAGATACTAAATGTTCTTGACATTGAGTACCACAGGCTGCAGGATCCCTAAGCAGAAAATGCAGATGCTGTACTTTGAGCTTGCACTGAAACTCGCTAAAACACTGCAACAGGCTTGCACAGAAATGTTGGCATGGGATCATGGTGTATTTAAGCGGCAGGCAACTGGAAGCTCAGGGTCATTTGTACAGACAAACATAGGTATAATAAAACGGTCACCCAGTCTGCACTTCATCTCCCCAGTGTAGAGGAGGCCACACTGAACAGCGCATACAGTAGACTAGATTAAATGAAAGTAAATCACAGTTTTACCTGGAAGGAATGTCTGAGACCTTGGATAATGAGGAGGGAGGAGGTAAATGGATAAATGTTACATCTACTGTGATTGATTGAGAAAGTGGTGCGTGAGGATATGTTGGGCTTGGAGGAGGACTGGACCAGTGTGCCCCGGAGCAACTGTCCTTGTGGAATTCTGACAAAGGAGGGGAGGGGAATGTGTCTGGTTGTGACATCCTGTTAGAGGTGACAAAAAAAATGGTAGCTGACAATTCTTTGAATGCAGAGTCTGATGGGGTGGTAAGTGAGAACCAGGGAACATTATCGTTATTAAGAAAGGGAAGAGAAGGAGTGAGGGCAGAAATGCAGGAGATCGGTCAGGTATGGTAGCGGGGGATCCTTGGTTGAGGAAAAAGTGGAGGTTTCTGAGGCTGTCCTGTGGAAGGTGGCATTATCAGAACAGATGAAGAGTTGGAGAAGCTGGGATAATGGAATGGAATCCTTACAAGAAGCAGGATGTGAGGATGTTTAGTTCAGCTAACTGTGGAGATTGTAATGGATATGGGTGGCCAGCCTAT